CATGGAGTAATAAACACGCATGGAGTAATAAACACACATGGAGTAATAAACACATATGGAGTAATAAACACATATGGAGTAATAAACACGCATGGAGTAATAAACACACATGGAGTAATAAACACATATGGAGTAATAAACACATATGGAGTAATAAACACGCATGGAGTAATAAACACGCATGGAGTAATAAACACGCATGGAGTAATAAACACACACGTGCAGAGTGTAAAATAACTCACCAGGTTAATGACTTTCATCTTTAAGCTGTTTTAAACACAACACTGACACTCTGTGTTGTGATGCTGTGTTTGTGTATTTCACTCCTCCACTGGCCTATTTATTCACACACACACACACACACACACACACACACACACACACACGGCAGATGTTACAGGAACACACCGAGGACAGGATGTGATGTGAGAACAGTGATACTTTAACCCTACACTCATTTACTGAGAAAACCGTGTGTGTGTGTGTGTGTGTGTGTGTGTGTGTGTGTGTGTGTTCACTCTGCCGTAACTCTTTGCTTTGTTCATCAGATTTAAACCTGAACTCGGCTGGTCTGTACTGGATTCTCTGCTACGTTACAGTGACTCTGGATTTTCAGATGATGTTATACAGTACCTGTGTCTGGTTTATTCCTTAATGCTAACTCCATGTGTGTGTGTGTGTGTGTGTGTGTGTGTGTGTGTTTGTATTGGATGTTAAGTGATAAACTGATAAGCTGAAGTCACGTCTTGTCCTTTGGTCAGCTTTTACCCTTGAAGCTCTTTTCTCATTTCAGGCAGCAAGAATTTAAATATTTAAATGTAAATAAATATTTCACAGCAATTTATTAATAAATAAACCGTAAACGAGTGTATTAACAGATTCTCAACCCCAAGTCCTCGTTGTAATCATCACAATTCAGCGACCATCAACTGTCCCGTATTAATTATTGCTTTGCTATGTGGAGAAATTCCGAGTCTGCTCTTATGCATATGCATATGTACTTATGAATAAATATACGGTTCATTAATTATTCAAGTTTACTGTAAAGCCAAACACACTGATATCATACACTGCAAAAAAAACCCAGCAATATAAACAAACAAACAAACAAAGTTTTACGCTTGTTAAGATGCAAAAGCTGTAATTAAAAAACAATTTCCAATCATTTTAAGTGATTTTATATTTTTGTTTTTATCAATTAATTAATTATGCTAATATTTAGTAGTAAATATTGCTCTTCTTCTTCTTCTTCTTCTTCTTTTTATTGTTATTATTTCCGCTTTTAAGTTCTCGTGCTGTTTTTTTTAATGTGTTCAATGTGTTTCTTTTCCTCATTTTGTCTCTAAGGTTTAAAAAATACAAATGTAAGTGCAAAACAAATAAAATAAAAATTATTTTAGTAAGGAATTACTAGTGCATGTAGTAAGATAATTATACTTCATAAAGTTAATAAAATGAGTAAATATGTTTAATCTGAATAATCTCAGAAATATTAAAGAATTCTGCTTATATTTGAGACACACAGTCGTGTAAATCTGTTCGGTCTGTTAGAGCAGTTAGTTATTAATATTTAGAAATTATTTTGTTGTTAGAAGTCACTGAAACTTTTCTATTGTGTGTGAGTGTGTGAGTGTGTGAGTGTGTGTGTGTGTGTGTGTGTGCGTCTGTGTGTTTAAAAGTCGAGTAAACAGGACTCAGGGGTTCAACCTCCAAAACTCTGGCTGCATAAATAAAACTCCAGCCGTCGCTTCGTCTTATTCACAAACTACAGCACTTTACATCCACGTTAATCACACGGTGACTTTACAACAACAACAACAACAACAACAACAACAACAACACAAAGCGATTAAAATGTCGGTCTGTTAAACAATGACAGTGCGATTAAACACAAAGTGGCAGAAAAGTCAGTGATAAAAACAGTAAAGATTAAAATGTAGCTCAAATCTACTGCTGTGACTCTGAAACTAAAGTAAGTTTAAAAAAACTACTTTATTATTTTTACACAATTAAACATCGTCACACTCTCGCGGTGTTTCAGTCAATAATTTCACTATCGTTTTTATTCTATATTTTAATTCTCTTTTTAGCATAAAAATGTGATCTAATGAGATTTGCTTCCATTTTACGCTGTAGTGTTAATTAGTTTATTTATTTTTGTTTATCTATCTATCTATCTATCTATCTATCTATCTATCTATCTATCTATCTCTGTCTGTCTATCTATCTATCTATCTATCTATCTATCTATCTGTCTATCTATCTATCTATCTATCTATCTATCTATCTATCTATCTATCTATCTATCTATCTATCTATCTATCTATCTATCTATCTATCTATCTACCCATCCACCTATCTATCTATCTATCTATCTATCTATCTATCTATCTATCTATCTATCTACTTATTTTTAGACCTTTTTGTCTTTTATTCATTCATTATTAAGCAGTAAAGTGCTTACAGAGACCAGTTTCTTTATTTTCTCTTACAAACAAACAAATAAATAAATAAATAAAAGCATTATACAGAGAAATTATTTAGAGACTTAAATAATAGAATCCATTCGCAGAAATCCTTCTCCGTGCTTCTCTGTACGCAATACTTTATTGTGGAAATGCTTCTGGTTAATAGGTCACTTTTTCCCGCCGGTCTGAATCGTGAACTCCTCCTGAACCACACACTCGTCTGCTCTCGGGGGTTCGGGTTTGTTAATTAACTGAAGACGAGTTGTTTCAGGAGGGAACCAGTAGAAGGTGCAGCGGGAGGTTATTCGAGGTCACGGTTCGGAAACGCTGGTGTGAACTTCAGTCACTTCCTGCTCGCTGCTCAGGGCAATAAAAGTCCTCCCGAGCCTCAGGCTGGCGTCTCACTGGGGTTTAACGAGGTCACTGTTACACTGAAGACACTTCTCTGATGTAATAAACGATTTCTTTCAGGAGGTGTGAACAGATCATTAAAAAAAACTAAACACAACATAAAATACACGATTATTCTTTCTATTTTCTTACAGCGGCTTTGGCTTTTTCTTTAAAAAAAATAGCAGTAGGCTTGTGTACCGTAGTCTATCGCATTATTTCATTACAAATGACAAATTTCGAGATTATTATAAAACAAATTTAACATTATTAAGTGAAACTGTAGACATTTTTACAAACGTTAATCTTAAAGCTGTCTCGTTCTGTTACGTTATTTTATTGTGTTCCTAAAAATAAAAGGATTAATAATATTATATTTGTTTTATTGTAATCACATAAGGTGAAATATTTAAATAGTTAGCTGATAGTCAACACGATTTTATATTTTATTTCCATATTATTTTATTTATATATTTTTCGGCAGCTCCAAACCACGATGCTTCACTGATAAGACGAAGCTTTTGTTCCAGAAGCGTCGTAGCGTTGACATCCGGGTGTTCTTCTGCCAGCTTCACACCTACAGCAATGGTTTGTTCATTAATAACTTCATTGATTTTTATTTATTTATTTATGTATTTATTTATTTTTTGGAGAGCAGTCTATGATGTTCTTTCATTACCACCACTAAAACCAGCCCCATCAGTGAAGCATGGTGGTGGTAGCATCATGGATAACTTGCAATCCCTGTGTGAACAATGAGTTCTAAATTTTATTTTAAAAACTATACTTACTTTACTGCTCCACTAATGTTGTGGTATGTCAGTTAAACAAGTTAGTTCCTGTTGTCACTTACGTTACAGCAGCTATAAACACTCGTCCCCTCACCAGCCTCTCTTTATTCTCTCTCTCCAAGTTAAAAAAAAAATCGCAGCTCGTTCCGCATGTTACTGAGAAACCGCAAAGAAGAAGCGTAAACTCCTCTGTCCTGAAGACGTCGGAAAACTTAAAGTTACAGCTTCACCTCTGACTGTTACAAAGCGCTGACACTGGAGACTCCTTCCATACATGTTACATAAACACATCTCTCCTCACAGGAAACATCACCATAGCAACGATTGGTGAATTAGGTGGAGTATAAGTACAGAGTGAGTGTGTTTTGTGTTTATTCTGTTTATAGTACAGATCTCTTTGTTTTTATTGTTTATAAACTATGCTTGTGAGTGTTTATGACACTCCTGTGTCTTTCAGGACGGTGGCTTTATTGGTTTATTGGTGATAAAATCCCCACTGCAGTACATCAGCGTGGTCATGACCATTTCACGCTGACATTTACACACACACACACACACACACACACACACACACACACACCGTGCTCATTTTAGGACAAGTGACTCAGCAAACAAAAAAAGAACAAACAAAAACAAACAAAGCAATTCTCAGTGTGGTGTTAAAAAGATCATCGTCATACGTTTATTGAATAAAACACACATTTAACTGACTACTGTACATCCAGACGCTACACACATTTCAGCCATTTTTACTCTCCTTTAACTCAGAGATATATAAATTATACAACACATATTCCATCCCATGTTTTTAAAGTGCTTGTGACGGGAATTCTGACCTATTTTCAGTAGGCTGCGCTATATTCAGGTCGGCTTTGGATGACTCGGAAAACTCGGACGATGGAAATGAAGCACTAGACAAAGTCACAGGATGTTAAAGGAGTTCTTGTTGTTGCTCCTGTTAGGGGTCACCACAGCAGATCCCTGGTCTACACCACAGCAGTTCACTGGTCTACACCACAGTAGATCCCTGGTCTACACCACAGCAGATCACTGGTCTACACCACAGCAGATCCCTGGTCTACACCACAGCAGATCACTGGTCTACACCACAGCAGATCCCTGGTCTACACCACAGCAGATCCCTGGTCTACACCACAGCAGATCCCTGGTCTACACCACAGCAGATCACTGGTCTACACCACAGCAGATCCCTGGTCTACACCACAGCAGATCCCTGATCTACACCACAGCAGATCCCTGGTCTACACCACAGCAGATCACTGGTCTGCATGTTTGATTGGGCACAGGTTCTACACCGGATGTTTACGCACACTCCCAGTGGATGGGTTGGTTTCCTGCCCGGGAATCGAACCCGGGCCTCAGCGGTGAGAGCACAGGAGCCACTAAACCACCAGAAACCCATAAGATGTTAAAGGAAATAGCAGCAGAATATTTTTCACACTTTGAAGTTTGTTTGTTTTTTTGGACTGAGGCTCTCAGCATTTCCTCTCAGCATTACGGGTTTAAGTTCTACTTCTTGCCCAGATACCATGTGAGCCAATCAGGGATGTGTGGGCGGAGCTACAGCAGTGCAGATCACTGATTGGTTAAACACAATAGTCACAGAAGCTTCCTGATGATCTTTGTGACATTGTCGTGACTGTGACAGAGTTTATCTCTCTCTTTTATAATCTTTTACTTTAACAGCAAATATAAAAGTCGCAATTTTTTCATAAATGTTAATGTTTCAGAGTCATTTTTATCTTTTTATACCCACGGTGATGTTTGTCTTTGTCACTGATCCACAATCTTTAAAATCCACCATCTTTAAGTTATTCGAAATTCCAAATGGCTTCCTAGTCACTGTGCTTGTGTAGCATAAATATTCAGCCACAGAACACGTACGAATTGTTACCTTTTTTGTTGCACTTTTATGATTTTACAAGCTTTTGATTTAATCAGCGTTGTTAATATTAACATATTGGCACACTTGGTTTTATTTTTGGTAACTTGCCGCTATAACAAACTCACCAAACATGTCTAGTGGCTCACCCTGTGAGAGAGACACAAAATAAGACATTTCAGCCCTAAACTGTGATGCTCCCACCACCGTGCTTCACAGAGGAGACCAGGTTGTGTGTGTTAGTTTGCATTATTTTGACTCCAAACATGAACTTCTGTCCACAGAACGTCTACGTAGTCTTTTACAAACTGCTGGTGGTAGCATCGTGGCTTCCGGCTGATTTACTGCTTCAGGACATGCAAAGCTTTTGGCAACATGGCAAAGTTTCATTTTGTAACAAACTCGCCATGGCACATGTTTATTAGTTTAGAGAGAGACAGAGAGACAAATAAAAATATAGAAATATGTACTTTTTCTATATTTCATGTCAAAGAAGATCAGCATTTGACCAATCATGCCCACCATCACAAATCATTTGTTCACTGTTTGTTTTTTGGGCGGAGTCAGATAAAGCATCCTGTTGAATTTCATCCGTAACTGTGAGGACTTCTGGGATTGACTGGAGAAGAACGTTCTCTATTTCTCTGGCCAATCAGCCGGTAGAGACGATAGCTCAGGTTCTGGACCTGGCAGGTTCCTAACACGCAGCCCACTCGCATCAGCTGACCGTGCATGTGACCCCGCGAGCTGAAGAGCGCGTGGCGACGCCCCCGTTTCCGCCTCTCAGGGACGAGGGTCTGACTGAGACGTGTGGGAGAATTACTCAGTGGGGGTTCTTTATGCTCGAGATCTCTCCAGACCAAACGGCGCTCTTGCACCAGGTCCTTCACGCCAGCCGGGGGCCCGATAGTGGTTTCCATGGCGATACTGCCGCCCGCCTCAAAGGTCCAGAACTTTCTTGGAAAACTCAACCTGAGAAAGAGAGAGAAGGAAAACGATGATCAGTAAAACACACAAGCTGTTTCCATCTGAGTATTTTTTTTTTTCACATTTCTGAAAAGTAGGAGATGTTTTTCCGGAATCTTCTGCATTCCTGTTTCTTTTTCTTACAAATAATAATAATAATAATAATAATAATAATAATAATAATAATAATAATAATAATAATACCATGATTCACTAGATTGCCATGCTGTGGATTTCACTTGTTTCTTTACAGTTTTCTGGCCCTGAAATTAGCCCCACCCCTTTTCCTTAGTAGGTAACTCACTTGCCATAAAGGCCTTGGGGTTGAATTGGAGAAAAGAGGAAAGGTTGCAAATGTTTTATTGCAAATGCAGTTCACCTCAGCAGGCAGCAAAGGGCCCAAACATTCCATAAAGCTCCTTTAAACTAAACATTCCATAAAGCTCCTTTAAACTAAACATTCCATAAAGCTCCTTTAAACTAAACATTACATTAATCTCCTTTAAACTAAACATTATATTAAGCTCCTTTAAATTAAACATTACATTAATCTCCTTTAAACTAAACATTATATTAAGCTCCTTTAAACTAAACATTACATATGGCCCCTTTAAACTAAACATTGCATATGGCCCCTTTAAACTAAACATTGCATTAATCTCCTTTAAACTAAACATTATATTAAGCTCCTTTAAACTAAACATTACATATGGCCCCTTTAAACTAAACATTGCATATGGCCCCTTTAAACTAAACATCACATATGGCCCCTTTAAACTAAACATTATATATGGCTTCTTTAAACTAGAAAATTACATAAAGCTCCTTTAAACTAATCATTACATTAAGCTACTTTAACCTAAACATTGCATATGGCTCCTTTAAACATTATATAAAACTCATTTATACTAAACATTACCTATGGCTCCTTTAATCTAGCATTATATATGGCTCCTTTAAAGCAATTAAAGTTGTTAAAGTTAGGAATTGCAACACGGGTACAGGGTGTAACCAGCTCGTGTCAGCATTTACGTAAATTACCACACAGGCTTCACTTTGGATTTATCATTTAATCTGACCTGAATTTACTCTCCGGCTCATTAGCGTGAGTGAGCGAGTGTGTGTGTGTGTGTGTGTGTGTGAGAGAGAGAGAGAGAGAGAGAGAGAGAGAGAGAGAGAGGTTATTAGGTGTCATGTTAAAGTGTTAAAGGGACAGAACTACTAGTGATGAAGTGTTTTATTTCCAAATGCAATTCATTTGACTCTTTTTGGTGAAGGAGTTTTTGTACGGCTTATAAAACTTTCAGTCGATGCGTAAGAATAAGATTAAGATTAAGATTAAGATTAAGATTAAGAATAAGAATAAGAATGTAGCTTACTGCTATGAGGATTAGAGCATTAGCTAACACTCTCACTGAGTGACAAAAGCTGTGATTTGTAGTGAGATCTAGTGCAAGACTTAAGAGCCACTAATCCCTAATAGAGTGTTATTAATCAAGAGAACTGGCACAAACACACACACACACACACACACACACACACACACACACACACACACACACACACACACACACACACATCATTACCTAGAGATAATTGCTAGTATTTTCTTTTGCTATGTTTTTCTCGCTAGTCTTATTTCACCAGTCATTTTCTTTTTCTTTTTTTTTTTACTTGCTAGCTTTTTGGGTTGCTTGTTAGGTTTTTCTTTTATTTGCCAAATTTTTTGTTCCTGTTGGTAGTTTTTTTTTTGTTTGTTTGTTTTGTTTTGTTTTTGCTTGCTAGCGTTTGGTTTCACTTCAGTTTTTTTTCCTTGCTATGATTTTCTTTAGCTTGCTTGGTTTCTGAAGGTACACATTTATCATTTAAATGACTACAGATTTATTTGTGCATGTGACAATGCAACGTTTTAGGCGTAAAACTTTTTAAGAATTAATTTCTATACAATGTTGATAAATGAGTGCCATGGAAACACTGCTGGGTGTATATACGGACACACACACACACACACACACACACACACACACACACACATATATTGGCATGATCAGCAGCACTTTTATCATGCATGTCTGCTCAAATGTCTGCAACTCAGTGTGATTAGATAAAGATCAAAAGTGTAGATGGTGAAACTGTGGCATTAGTTACACAACGCGGCATGAAGCAGCTGCCACCCTGATAAACTCTCTCGCTCTTTCACACAGACGGAGCTGCAGTGAGAACGTGCAGAACAGCAGAGACAGAGAGAGAGAGAGAGAGAGTCACTGAGAGGAGAGAGGAATGCTGAAGGAGAAGGAGACGGATGTTCCCGTGGCCATTGTAGAGGAGACGAGGATGGAGAGAATGGAGAGGTGAATACGTTTGGAGAAGAGTTCCCACATTAGAGCGCAGTAGGAGGCTCTCAGGACTCACAGAGCGTCCACATTAAAACCCCAATTACAAATACGTTTAATAAAGCAACGAGGTACAGAGCGAGCAATTTAATTCCGTCCCACATTAATGTTGTAAATCACAACTGTCTGCATAACCTTTTCCCACACACACACACACACACACACACACACTCAGAGCTGAGATTTATACTGGCAGTCTCTCACACATCACACCTTTACTGCGTAAACACAACTGTTTCGTCCTCAATATTTTTTTAACTAAAAAAAAAAATTCAATTCCAAATTCAGTTCGGTTTTATTTAACAGTAGACGAACATTCGCACTGAACCAGAAACGAAACCCGTCCTCTTGTAAGCAACAAGCGAAGGTCTGGACGTTTCATCTCCTCTTACTGATGATCTTTCTTGTTTTTGTGTCAATTCTGTGATCAGATCTATTTCTGTAAAAATTCCATATATATCAGGGAGAAAACCAGGAAACTCTTTATCATCAAGGCTAGGTCTACAGTACGATACCACGTATAGCACCGGAATAACATCGATGATTTTCTTGATTGCGTGTTTGAATCCTGACGATGCCACAGCCGTCCGTGACGGGAGTCAAGAGAGCAAAACTGGCCGTGCAATCTGGGTGGGAGGGGCATACTGTCTCCCCCCCTGTCAATCACTGTGACACTAGCCAATCACGGGCGTCTGTGAGATCATGTATGTGGAAGAGGGCGGATAGCGTGTTCCTCCGGGTGTGTTACACCGCCCTGTGATGCAAAGATGTGGTTGGTGGATTCACGTTTCTCGGAGGAAGCACGTGTTAGATTTTGTGTAACAGAGAGAGTTGTGTGGGAACTGGGAGGTGAACAAAATGCAGAGAAAAATGGATTTTAAAAAAACATAGCGGTATAATATCAGAAAAGGAAACGCAGAAAGAGAGTGTAGATGGAGAAAAACTAAACTTCAGTTACACTGTGATGTCGACAAGGAGACGCTACACAAATAGAAATAAATACGACTAGCAGATCTACGTGAAGAATACAAATCTCTAAAACGTCGTGTTGCGTGTCAGAATCGGAAAAGTGAATCCGGCTTGCTAACTAAGACTCTAACAGGCTTAGCCTCCTAGTTAGCTACCGTGCCTAATTTATACTGCTTTAATAAACTTA